AATAAAATGCACACTACTGACTAAAAAAAATATACATTGCAATGGTCTTTTATAATCAGTGGTCGAAATGGCTTAAGATAAGTGGAGGGATGCCTTACAATTCAGATTTCCTGATATCATCATAACATTCTTCATATCTTGTATAGTATTTTTTTTTTTATAGTTCACATTTTGTTTATGCATCAGAATACTACAATCTTTTTTGATCATAAATAATCTTTAAAACTAAACAAATAAATAACATATTTTCAAATTTTTCAAAAAAAACTGATAAAATATTTTATTTATAATATTTTTCTGTGGACTTATTATCATCAATATTGTTATTGTTTTGTGATATTAAAATATTATGTTATTAGCTCTAAACACGACTAAGGTATATGTAAATTCTTAATCCGTGGCTCTAAATACGGGTATAGATAATATGATTGCGAAACGGCCTATACGAAAAATAAAAAGTTTTCTTATACATAGGTATAAATATAAAAATCATAATAATTATTTCATTTTAAAACACAATTCTTAGGAGGAATGCGTTATTCTAGACAAAATAAGTAGAGGGATGAAAAATGTAAATACAAAAAAGTAGAGGGATGTCATCCCTCCGTATCCCCCCCCACTTCGACCACTGTTTATAATACTGTTATGTCTTAATTTAACTGCGATTTGATTAATTATATAGTTTCAATAATATAGTAGGTCTCAGACACTCATTATTATTCCAAAAACTATCAACGTTTTGAAAATATATTTTTTACGTTGATTTGTTGAATATTATTAGTGTAGTGTAGGTATATGAAGAGAAACCTTGTATGATGTAAAAATTATTATATTAATTATTAATGCCTAAAGCAGAAATGATAAATCGGATTAAAAACGTTCTCGGAAAGTAACATATTATTATTATTCAGCTCGTGCATTGTATACGAGTGTATACAAGTATACAACGAAATATAATATAATTTATTGTTGGTTAACCTAGAAATGCATTTTCAGATCTAATAAAAGTAAACATTTCAAATATTATTCTGTAATAAAATATAGAATACATACATCGTTGAGTTTTCAAAAACTGGTAGACAATTATTATTAGCAGCTAGTGTTAAAAATGTCATTAAAATTCTCTAGGCCCTACAAAAATACAAAACGATTGGAATGGATTTCCATAAAGATTCTTAATTTTTTTTTTTTATCTTGTTTTTTACGTTGATATTTTATCTATTTGGATTTACTGGGTATAAAATTTGCAATACCTTTTTTGCATAATTATTATACGATGCACTATACACTGGGTAACACCTTAGGTTGTAGGTATTTAAAACAATTATTAACATTTATATTTTAAATACATTATATAGGTAAGCACCTATGTTTACGCCTATTTTAGTGTAGTTTAAACTATATAGATACAAATAAGTATTAAATATCTTACTATAACTATTATTTTTGATTATATTATAATATAATACACTTTCATATAAATTGGATGTTATCTAGACTTAAAACAAACTCTTTTCTGGACGTTTTCGAAACAGATTATGCACAGTTGTCGTAGAAGTTGTCTGCAATTACTAGATCAACCCGTGTGACATAGAATAGAAATTATTCATATTTTTTTTAAAAGTTTTTTTCGAAAAACATATTATTATGTATGCAATATATTTAACGAAGAAATGTAATACATTTTATATAACTAGTTCATAAAATTAATATATTTTATAAATTGTTCATAGTGATATTATGCTTATAAATATTTGTCATAATTCTTTTAGATTCTGAGTGGATAGATGAATCTATTGGTTTTGCAATGATGTGTGTGTTTTTTTTTTTGTGTCTGTGTACACGATAAATAGTCGAAATAATGCTTCGATTTTCAACTTCAATATCTTGTTCAATTGGTAAGTGAATATCGTTGGTGCATTGAGGAGGTCAAAATTTAAAATTCCCAGTAATTTTCAAAAGCGCCAAGAAAAATTAAGGAAAAACGGGAATTTTTAAGCAAAATTGAATTTGGTTTTTGATGTAACTTTAAAACAAATGACCGTAGATACATGAAATTTTCACTGATTGTTTATATTTGCATTTCTATACACGATAACATTTTCAAAATATTTTGATTTATTTTGAACTGTCTAGGGACATTTTCATTTTCCATTTCTTTTTTAGTTTTCTTTCTAAAAATATCAATAAAATTTTATTTGTAGGTTAAAAAAGCTTGAAAATTTAATAAAAGGCTCCTAGTATATTGTTTTAAAGGCAGATGAAAAATATTAAAAATCCTTAGTCACAATTTTTTTTATAAGCATTTAAAGTTCAAAAATTGACAAAATAAGGAAAAATCACGAAAATTATCAAATTATTTTGAGTTAAGAATTCGTAAAAATTGTTCTCTTCAAATCTAAGATTTTAAAATGTAATACAAGATTCCTTATGAGACTATCTACCGTTATCAAAAAAAAAAAATGTGTATAAGAAAGTCAAATTTAATTTTTATGAGCGTTTGAAATTTAAATGTTTACAATATTGAATATTCACTCGATTTCTCATGTAGCGATTTCTTTATGTTGTTGTAATTCAAAAACGAATAACTGTAGATACATGAAAATTTCACTGTTTACGGATATTTAAATTTTTCAATTTTTTAGTTTTTTTTTCTATAAATATCAATAGAGTTTTATCTGTTGTGCCAAAAAGGTTCAATTTTAGATTCTGAGTGAAACGATGAATGTATTGATTTTACAATGATGTGTGTTTTTTTTTAAATTTTTTTTGTGTCTGTGTACACTATAAGTAGTCGAAATAATGCTTCGATTTTCGACTTCAGTATCTTGTTCGATTGGAAAGTGAATATTGTTGGTGCATTGAGGAGGTCAAAATTTAAAATTCCCAGTATTTTTCAAAAGCGCCAAGAAAAACAAAAGAAAAATTAAGGAAAAACGGGAATTTTTACGCAAAATCAATTTTTCAGAAAATTGAATTTGGTTTTTGGTGTAACTTTAAAACAAATTACCGTAGATACATGCATTTTTCACTGGTTGTTTATATTTGCATTTTCTATACACGATAACATTTTCAAAATATTTTGATTTATTTTGAACTGTTTAGGGACATTTTCATTTTTCATTTTTTTTTAGTTTTTTTTCTAGAAATATCAATAAAATTTTATTTATGGTTAAAAAAACTTGAAAATTTAATAGAAGGCTCCTAGTATATTGTTTCAAAGGCAGATGAAAATTATTAAAAATCGTTAGTCACAGTTTTTTTTTATAAGCATTTAAAGTTCAAAAATTGACAAAATATGGAAAAATCATAAAAATTAGCAAATTATTTTGAGTTAAGAATTCGTAAAAATTTTTCTTTTTAAATCTTAGATTTGAAAATGAAACACAAGATTCCTTATAAGATTATCTACCTTTATCAAAAGAAAAATGTCTATAAGAAAGTCAAATTAAATTTTTATGAGCGTTTGAAATTCAAATTTTTACAACATTGGATGTTCAGTCGATTTCTCATATAGCGATTTCCTTATTTTGTTGTTATTCATAAACGAATAACTATAGATACATGAAAAATTCACTGAATGTTTATATTAGCATTTCCTATACACCATACAATTTTGAAAATATTTTGACTTTTTTGAGCTGTTTACGGATATTTTAATTTTTCAATTTTTTAGTTTTTTTTCTATAAATATCAATAAAGTTTTATCTGTTGGGCCAAAAAGTGTAAAAATGTAATACAAGGCTCCTGGTATATTGTTACAATATCAGTTGAAAAATATTAAAAATACATAGGCACAATTTTTTTTTATAAGCATTTAAACATCGAATTTTGACAGAATTGTTCAATATCTCGAATATTATTAATCATCGTAATTAATAAATTATAAAATGTTCAGTTTTTATAGCTAAGGATTGAAAATTTAAAACAAGATTCCACGTAAGTAGTTAATTCTCTTACCGAAAAATCTAAAAAATATACAATCACAGTTTATTTTTATAGTCATTTTATGTTCAAATTTGGACGAAATTACATATTAAAAAACCTAGTTATTTTGTTGTGATTATATAATATTATATTCGTGGGTACCTACTTGAAACTTCTAAAGTGTACTATTATATTATATCTATGATAGTATCAGGGTTTGTTATTGATGTTGATGTATAACGTGTTATAAGTACCTAATGGATATTGTGATAATGTGATATGATTAATTTGGAATTTATTACTGGTCAATTTTTTTTTTTAATACCATAGATATGTATATAATTTGTCTTAAACCTAGACTGACCTACCGTCTTCCCTCAGAATCGTTTTTCTTATACAATGATATTGTATTATTGAATTCAAATTTAATAGCATCCATTATACAGTGACCCACTTGTAACCTACTGTACAGCAGAGCGACATCCACTTACCCACCTTTTTTTTTATAGTTTAATTTAAGAATACATACATTGTAAAATTTTTAACTAGTTTTGACAAATTGTGCTATTTAAAATATTGTAAACTAATTATCAGTTAGAAATTCATAAAAGTTTTTCTTTTCGTAACTGAGATTAAAAATTTTAAATAGAAGAAGTAACATAAGTTTTTCCACCTGTAACAAAAAAAGTACCAAATATTTATATTTGAATTTTCCATATATGGTAAAATTTTCACAATTTTAAAATTCTACGTTTTCCGAGGCTCTGGGAAAAAAACTGTTTTCCCGAATTTTTCCGGATATTTTCCGGCATTTTGATCCCTAGAAATTTATATAGTTATCTTCTTTCTATAGTTGGTGTACTTTAAATACATTTTATTTTATTAACATTTATTGATGAGTGGAAAAATGAAAGAATTAATGGACTTTTTATCATTATCGTTATAATTACAAACACGTACAATTATAAATTGTTTTATTTTATTAAAAATTGAAAAATTGGAAAGAACTTGAAAAATTTTCAATATTGCTGAAAATGTCAATGAAAAAAAATTTCATTTGAAAATTTTCAATCTTACATCTCTAGAAGTAACACGTGGATTTTGAAAATTGTATGAGGAGGCTGTGTCTTGAACACCACTTCACCCTGCTTGTTCACGTAATCCGAATAAGACAACGTATATATGCATTGAAATCCAAATCTTTCAACAGCTTTTGCAGTAAAATGACTGGAGCACTCCACGTACATCATTTGATACCCTAACTCCAATGCCAACTCTCTAGAAATTAAGTTATTATTATATTAATGTAAATCAAGTATAGGTTAGGTATCACCAATAGTATGTAAATATAATATGGTATGGTCGTATGGACAATGGACAATACATTGTATAAATTGTATGTATTTTTTTTAATAAATAATTAGAAACTAATGTTTTAGTGTTTTTTTTGCGGCACTTAACACTTTTGTATTTATTTTTTTTGCTGGAGGGGCAGGGGCTATTATTCATTATGATTCATGACCAATATATAAATTAAAATTTAGAATTTACAATAGCTATTCTATACAGCCCATATAATATTTTATGCATAAGTGAAAAAAATGTTGAGTAAAACATTTTGAGGGTTTTGAAACGTTGATCTCCAAAATCGGTAGAAGTCATAACGGCACTAACAAGCGGATAATGGTGACTGGCACTGTTAAAAGCATTATTTTGTCAGGCTTTGCTACCTACTGATAAATATTAATTCTCATAAATTTGAAAGCAATGACGGGTTATAGCCTAAACATAATCTAACTTAAACACTCTGAGAATACATAATATATATACCATCATGATTCATGATGTTTTTATACTATTATACTATTAATAGTAATAATTTTAAATAACACAAATAAAAATTGCGAAAGAGAAGTATCTATAGATGAAAAATTGGTACTTATTATAGTCAACAATAATATTATTGATGTCTAGAATCATGTATCAATATTGTCCTGCAATTATTATTATGTTTATATGAACAAATTGTTTTTGATATACTTAGACTTGTTGATGAGGGCTTTACAAATCCCAAGTCCTCTATGTTCCTTATTAACTGTAATAATCTTTAACTCCATCATACGATCTATGTTTGGATACTGCCCAAATACATCAGTTTCTCGTCCAGCTTTTTCTAAGATAACCATAATATCATTATATTTCGAACTTTTGTTCTCGTCGCCATATTGTTTTATTTCGTTACTCCTGCACACTATGCTATTCAACGCGGCACCCATCATTTCACCTGTCTCTGCAGATATTGCCATAAACGATACTCCTAAATAGAAAAAAATCGTATTATTGCTTATGAATGATACCAACTTCAATTTAAAATAGAGACACAATTCTTATTATTCGGTTACTTTTTACCTACTGTGTTCATAATATTTGAGCCAAATTCAAAACATGTTCGATATCACTTTTAAATTACAATAAAAATAACTAAAATCTAAAATATTATTTAATGCCATCCAAATTTTTACTTAAATTGTCTATAAATATATCTATTTTTATAATGTTTATATATTTTTATTACAAAGTATTTTTTTCTGTGATCATTTTTTGGGTTACATAAGCGTTGTGTAGGTAATCCAAAAAAATCCATCGGTCTTTGGGAAATAAAACGAGGAACATAATTCCGAATTTGGAACATAACTCGTATAATACAGACATTATAATTTATAATTCTATATTATGAGATATTTTCATACATTTAAATTGTTCATCTCCCAACACCGAAACACATTAACACATTATGACATTATAGTATTGTGCTATTGTAGGTATATAAGTGTATAACTAAGTATAGGTACATACAATAATGGCCATAGCCATTAATGTGGGGGTGTAAATTTTCCTCCAAAAATGAGACACGGTTTTCCTCAAAACTTTTTTTTGTACTAAAATTATGTCCATTTTCCTCCAAATATTAAAATATTTGCCAATATTCTTATAAAAAAAAACCAAATATGTGGCTCAATATTGTGAAACAAATTCAAACAAATATTTATTGTAAAATAAGAAGTATTCATATTCCAAAAAAAATTTAAAGACCCGGTACCTTTAATTAATATCAATAGATTATAAACTCACCATATTTTATTAAATCAATGCAATGATTTTCAAATTTTATTAATGATTCTTTTTCTTCCATTAATCCTAAGCTCGCACATATAGGTTCATCGCGGAAAAAATACTGTCTTAACGAATTCTGTATAATTTGTTTATCATTATCTGTAATGGGGACTATGTTAAAAGAAACTTTGTTGTTTTTGATTTCATTTTCATCCATATTATTTTTCAATATCTGAAAAAAATAATATTTGGTTTACAATGTATAGCTCCGAACCACTTTTAAAATTCATATTTCGATACATAAAAATCGAATTTTAGATGAGTATTTTAAGTAATAATGAGTGGAGTAGTGGGCCAACATGTTGTGGGATATAATCGCGCACCACTCCACACCCTTCATGTGTAATTGAAATTAGTAGTTATAAGTTATAACTCATAAACAACTCATCCTAAATTTGATTTTCATGTATCGAAATACTTAGGAAAATATTTTCATTTGGAATATGAAATTAAAACTGTACCTATTTTGTCATTCAAAATAGTAAAAACCTAAAATATATTAAGGATAAAAAATATTAAAAAATATAGATACATATTTTAAAACTGTTGTTTTTAACGACTAGAAACTATATGTAAGTGGTTTTTTTTTTAAACACATTTATACTTTTTGAAATATGAGTGTTCAATGATAAAATAATCATCAGGTATACGACGGATAGTAATATAATAATGTTTACTTTAGAGATTATTCAATTCTAATTGATGAAATATAATTCATAAGTACATACCTATAGGTTTATCAATATCAATTTAATTATTTTATCGTTTATAAAACTCAAGTAGTGGTATTAAATTTAAGTTCAAGTAAGTTTTTAATAAAATTGTATTTAGTTAGTCACAAAAACTTGTATTTCTAAAAACACGAATTATTATTTAATAGAAGTATTTAATTAAATAGGTACACAATTTTTTTCGAAAAAATATTATTTTGTGCATAACTAATGTCTAATACCATATTTAAAACTAGTGTCAATTCGCCTTCATTAATTTATGTATAACCTCAGACTAAGTACTTCCAGGATAAACTTACCTTTAATTTTCATAAATATTTATTTTTATTTTATTTATTTATTTTAATATTAACGCCTGGTGGGAAAGAGTACAGGACATAACAGTATTAATATTCAATTGTTTACAAATTGTATACAATGTTGCGTAGTAAATAAATATTAAATATCATTACTTATTACAATAATAATTTACAATTCGATTAATATCGGGATATTTAGGACATTATTTTGTGTCCAAGTTGGGATGGTTAATGTATTTTTGGTGGGATTGTTCATCATTGGAATCCAAAAATTAATCTTATTTAGTATTTCGGGCCACACTTCTTTGCCATTTTGTAATTTGTAGAAAAATAAAACATCATTATAATCACGTCGAGATGAGATTGGTGAAAGGCCACATCTCTTTTCAACGAGACAAATTGGTTGACCACAAATGTCTAGTTTGAAGGCAATATTACGTAAAAAATCGTCTTTGGATTTTTTCTATTTTTTCAAATAAGTCTAGTTTTTTAGGGTTTCATATTACTGAACTAAATTCAAGGTCTTTGCGGACCAGAGCAGAATGAATAACTTTCAGACATTCAGGGTTAGGTTAGGTTAGATATGAACCTTTAATAAAACCAAGATTCCTAGTCGCCTTAGCACAGATAATTTGAATATGACTATCAAAAGATAGAATAATTCCTAAAGCTTTAATTTTGTCAATAATCTGTAACGGAGTTTCATTAATTTGGAACTGTAATTAACTGGATTTAGCTTACGGAAGAATGTAATTTGCCTGAATTTTTCAGCATCAAGTGACATGCCATTTATTTAAAGCCATTTAATTAAATTATCCAGGTCAATTTGGATTTTAGTACAGTCATCTAGATTGTTAACTGGTAAAAATATTTTTAGATCGTCTGCAAATAGTAAATAATTAGAGTGTGTAAAGACTGTGTAAAGACTTATGTCATTTATAAATACTAGGAATAAAAGTGGCGATTAAGGTCCTGGACCTTGTGGTACACCAGAAGATATGTAATGAATTTGTATGTTTAATTTGACTATCTGTGTTCTAGCAGAGTTAAAGTACGACAACCACTGAAGAAGTTTTCCATGTAGGCCATAATAATTATTCAATTTTCTTTATTAAAAATGGTTTACAGAATCCAAGGCCCTTTTGATGTCTGTACGTTGACTACGACTTGAAATATTATCAATAAGATTTGTGTAAAACACTAACAAATTTGTACCGACTGATTTCGATTTTGGTTATCAATGAAAGTATTTTTAAAAAAATCAGAGAGTTCACGTCTATCATGTTCACGTTTCTCGAATAGTTTTGGGATACAGCTCAGTTTAGTGATTGGTAGATAATTCGATATATTAGATTTGTCACCACTAGTCCATATAGGAGTAATGAACGACGATTTCTAAGCTCTCCTGTCTCTAAGGATATGCAAAATAATTTGTAAATTGGAGTTGTTATTCCTTAACAACTATCTATATATGGCTCAGAAATAATGCAGATATCATATCAGGGCCTGCAGGTAAATAAAGATCATATTTTTTTAGTATAAATTCAAATTTGCAGTATGTGCAGACTATACTAATGTTTACCTTAATTTTTATTCCGTTATATTTTTACCATATTATAATACATCAGTGTAAGTTACCTTTTTAGAAATGTTGTAGTCTTTTATTAAAATTAACGGTATTGTATAAAAAATTAATTTTTAAAAGGTATTTCTATGGGGTAATGCGTTATTTTCCACGTTATTAAAATAAGTTATGAATGTAAAATGTATAAGAAACCCCAAATGGGCTAGGATCTTTGAGAAAAATTGAAATCACTTCAATTTATATTCGATTCTGAAATTGTTATATAATAATCAACAATATTATTAAAGATCCCAGAAAATAGTATTACCTATAAATAAAAGAATTATAATTCAAAAATAAAATGTAATAACAGTTTATTATAACTTATTATTAAACCATAATAATAGAATTAACATTATTATTTTACAATTATAACTTAATATTATTCGACTTATATACGGTATTATACCTCACCAGTAACCATATAAGACGTATAATAGCTGGGTACTCATACATTTTGTTTGTGCATGTATTAACAATGTACAAAATAATCAATGATATTACTTATAAGTTATAACTATATACCTATAATCTATATACAATTTATATAGGTTCACCACTATAAAGTATAAAGTATAATCTACAACATTATACCTTTGCATAATATTATTTAATACCTAGTTACTTATCTAGTATCGTTATGTAATTCAAATCAAAATATTTTAATGTAACGACTAACGAGTAACAACATTTTATATTCAAAAGTAATTTACCCTAACAATCATAAATATTAAATAATACTATATAATGGTTCTATTTTGTTATTTTATTGTAGGTACCTGGTACCTACATCATTATAGTCAGATAGTTATACTCTATCAAAAATCTAAAATCACGTCCTCCATTTAAATGGGATTTATTACATCAAGAACGTTCACATAAATCCACTGCTAGTTAAATCGTCAAACCAACTTCGAATAAAATATATGAAATTAACAAAATTATTAATAATTTGATTTAAATACGAATGTATATAATATACATGGTGATATTAAAGTATTCTCACTTTAATTTTATCCTTACATTACGCATAATATATTCAAATTTTGATTTTTTGGAATTTTTAAATAATTTTTAAATACGCACTTGAACTATATTTCCGAGTACTTAAGATTTTTCAAGAAAATCATCCACTAAATAGTTTCCCGTAAAAAAGGGAGTTCTCGTTTGAAAAAAAGAAAATTGTATCGTCACAGGACACTCCTTAAAGTAGTACAAAAAATATCAGAAATTAGAATAAATGTATACTATAAAAGGTAAAAACCGGGGTGATCATGCTTAAAAAATCACATAGTATACCTATTGTACAGTGGCGTAATTTGGTCATGGTTGTGGGGGGGGGATGAAATGTATGTACATTTCACCAATTACCCCCCCCCCCCTCAACATTTTTTTTTTAACCGTATAAGGCATAAGCTATAAGCAATAAGCACCCCTCAATACAAGAATACAACCATTATGATCTGTATGTAATAACTAGTAGCCGGAATTATATTCTTTTGCATATTTTTTTTGAGTCTATGCAGTCAGACGGGGGTTCGAAATCTTTACAAATCATGAAACAGGTGAGTTAATGGCAAAAGTTTATTTTGCATATTTGGGAATATTTCAAGATAAAAGAATATTTCGTATAATAAAAAATATTAGAGAATATATCGATTAATTTTTGTAGATGTTCGATATTTTTTATTGCAGTGGCCTAAATAATATAAATAGCACATATAAAAACATTTTAACCGACCGTTGTACAAATATGACATCAGGGAACATGGAACAAAATATAGTTGTCAACTGTTTTCAAACATTTTCTTAGTTAAAAATTTAAAATTTAAAATAATTAAATATTAAATCAAACTTTTCTTAACAAGTAGTATTTTTTATTATGTAGGTACCTATTTATATCAGGTTTTTATATTATTTTGCATATTATGTACCTATTTATTTATATGTTCGTATTATTTGCTTAATTATTTTGCATATAAATGCATATTTTTAGTTCAAGAGAATATTTTAATAAAAAAGCATTTTTTTTTTGCATATTTTATTATTATTTTTAAAGAATATTGGAAGAATATTTTCAACTTTTTAAGAGAATATTAGCATCTTATTTTGGCTATTTTAAAAGAATATAATTGTATCACAGTGTGATCACGATTTTAGGTACCACTGAATATCTCAGATGGCTGACTTTGTATTGAAATGGGGTTTTCGGGAGGTGATAGCCGATAGGAAGCACTTAAATACATATTTTCAGACCAGTTTAAAATTTTTAGCTCACTCGGTATGCGCATGCGTAATTTGACTTACTTTTTGTTAAATGGCAACCCCACTTTTTTTCTACAGATTTGGGTAGAGTATTTTTTTTTAAACATTTTTTGTATTGAAAGTTTTTCTATTTATAAAACTTACCAAGTTAGAGAAAGTCAAATTTTGGATTTATTCATAATACGTGTTTAATGCAATTTGCATTTATAACCAGTTGAAATAATAAAATAAGTGCCAA